ACACACACACACACACACACACACGCGGTTGCCGGCCTTCATTTGCTGTGCGCTACACGGAGTGCCCAAATGAGGCACGACGCCGCAGCACCGTGAGGTGCAAATGTGAGGTGTGCGTGTGCGACCGGGGCAGTTGTTCTTTTTTTCGTGCAGGTAATAAAATACACAAATGCATCTCTCACGGTCCTCTTGTGCTGCCGGACACGTGAGGTGAAGGAACACCACCTGCAGAAGTGAGTTCGTTTTTTTTTCTCTTCTTTTTGGGAGGGGCATTGCGGGGTTTCCATTTCTTTTCTTTTCTTTTAATTTTTTTCGTTGGGGCAACTCACTGCGGCTCACGCTGAGTTTGTGCGCCGTGTCCGCCGCTGTCGCTGCGTGTCTCCGCGTCTGTTTTTCCCCCGCCGCCGACACGCCCCCATTTCCTCCTCCTCCTCCTTCCCGCTAGAAGAGGCAGCGTCAGTCCACGACGGTTCTTTTTTTTGTTGTTGTTGTCGTCCGCTGCGGTGGCGCGGGGTTGACGGAGCTTCCGGCCGCCGCTTTCTGCGTCCGTTGTGGCGGGAGGGAATAGACGGGGTTTGCGTGCGGCGTGTGTCGCACTGCGAGTGTGCGCGGGCGCTGCTTCATAGCGGCCTGCGGTGCGGTGCCAGCCGATGAGAGCGAAGCGGCGGCAGACTCTGCGGTGGTCTTTGGGCTCGCCCCGTCCCTCTCGCTACGTGCGTGTGTGTGTGCGCGCCCATTTCTTTTTTGCCTCTCTCCCCTTCTCTCATTCTCCTTTTGGCCTGTGGCTGGTGTTCGGCTGCAGCTCAAGCCAACAACAACCACAAAAAAAATGCCTGCAAAGCGAACGAGGACGCGTGCTGGTATGAAGAGGGAACGTTCCACCACTAATGCGCCGCGGGGGCAGCGCCCAGCTCGCGTCGACCGCAGTCTTGGGCAGCCACCTGCGGCCGCGGAGGAGACGCAGGACGCCGCCCCTCTTCTGGGGAGTGGGCTGCGTGCGGCCCTCTCTGCGGCGGGGGCGTCTGTGGAGAGCGTCACGTTGGGGAAGATGGAGGGCCTCTACGAGTCCATGTTCGATGCGAGGTGGGGCCACGTCCTGGAGGTTCCCGACGGCAGCGGGGGGGCGGGGATGGAGCCGAGGGAAGGCAGGCCGCCGGAGCCGTGGGGGTGGAAGGTGGAGGGGGCAACTGTTCTGATGGACGACGGTGCGGCGCAATTCTCTCCACCGCGCCCCAGGCTCCTCGTGCTCACCTCGGAGAGGGAATGGCCATACGCGTGGAGCAATGCGACGAGCATCCGCGACTGCTACGTTTACTCCGAGGTGGAGCGGGTGTGGCAGATCGTCAGGGGCGACCTGGACGGGTCGTTGGGCACGCACGGCGGAGCGAACTCCGCGCCTGTGCGGCGTGTCTTGACCGGGACGTCCGGGATCGGGAAGTCGATGGCGGCCTGCTCCTACCTCCTCTACCAGCTGCTGCACTACGACGCAGAGCAACTCCCTACGGTTGCGTACTTCGTTGGGAGCAGAGCTTTCCTGTTTGACAAGGCCACCAAAACGATGTCGCGCCTCCCTCGGTTGGGCTCGGCGACGGAGAGTTTACTGGAGGTCGCCACGCGCACGAGGGGGTATATTATCTGCGACGTGATGTGGGGAAAGCGGCAGGCGTTGTCCGTCAAACTGCCCCCGCCGGCTGGGGCATGCTCGTCGTGCTGCCCCCAGAAGAAACTCACTACAGGGAGTGGGAGGAT